GAGAGAGAGAGAGAGTGTTTTGAAGTGAGATTCTGACATTTAGAGAGAAAGAATGTGTTTTGAGGTGAGTATGGCAGTTGAACAATTTTTTGAGGTCTCTTGCAGCATCTAAGTGATCTAGAGAGAGCATTAGGAGTGGCAATGGCCCAGATCTAGACCCAGACCTGACCGGACCCGAAATCATTAGACCTGAACCCAGACTCGAAAATATAGTGTGGGATCTAGACCCTTAATTAATCCAAAAATGAAAATATCTATATATTTAATTATATTTCATAAATTGGGACCTGAAAATATTACCGAACCCAGACCTAAATAGTGTGGACTTGAACCCAGCCTGTTAGGTTCAATTTTTAGACCCATACCCCGACTCAAATTGGGTCTACCCTTTGGGTACTGGGTCCATTGCCACCCCTGGACATAATTATCGGCTCAAGTGAATGGGCCAGGGAAGACAGCAAGAGAGAAATTATTCTAAGTGGCCCGGTGTCCGGGAGAGGGTCAGCATTTGAAGGGGCCCAGAGAGAGACTATTGCAGATGGCCCGAAAGAGAGTCAGCAAGAGAGGGAGAAACGGTGTACCCAGAGGGGGTCACCGAGAGAAGACAGAGGGGGAGTCGCTATTCAAGGTGTACCCATGAAGCCCACTGGGGCCTCTACAATCCCTAGCCTCAAGTGGCTGCAATGGTCTAGAGAGAGAGAGAGAGAGAGAGAGAGAGAGTCTCCATCCCCATTGGGCCTCTACAATCCTCTTGAGGGAGAGACGTGGCGTGGTAGTCCACGAAATGTCTTTTCATTCTTTTAGGGGCCTTGCCCTCCTCCTGGGCCATCAAGACAAATTTACCATGTGTAAGTTTACTCTCAAAATTTAACAGCTCGTATACTATGCTCCTGCGGGAGTGTATGCATACCTGCTCAGTCATGTCGAAGCTCTACCTGGAAATTTCTTTTTTCTTTACCGAATTCCTCTGGTAGAAGATCTACTTAGGACTTTTTTGTTTATTTTAAATTTTGGAAATTACCTAAGAACTATTTTTTAAATGAAATTTTTGAATTTTCTACTACTTAGATCTCGTCTTTCAAAAATTGGATGGTTTTTGTTCAATCTTGAGATATTATTTTTTCAAATATATAGAGTGGAATTTGAAAAAATAATTGGTTGAGATTACTCTATGGCTTGATATATTACATCGTTAAATCTGGGGTCCTAAAATTACCTCTAGATTAAGTTTTAGCCGAGGGAGGGAGTAAATGAACAATATCCTCTTGTGAAAGTATGAAATCTTTTGGCCGTACTTAACTCATCCAATTGGCCAAAACTCTAAAAAAATAAAAAAAAAAGAACATAGAGCCTATTTGGATGCGTTGCCATCATGCATAATGTCACTATTTTAATAAAATTAATCTGGTTAATAAATTATCATGAAAGTATCCATTTAATCCAAGATAAATCTATTGGGACTTTTGTACATAAGTCGATCATTTTGAAAAGATGTTTTCAAAATTTGCTGAAAACTATAGGAGTAAGGTTTGAAACTTACTCCACGTTTGAAACCTCTTTGGTGATGTTGGCAAGTCACCTAGAAATTTTGGGGTGTTGTTAGTGTGAGTTTGCCGCTTCACAAATTTGAAAATATGCATCTGAAAACCCCCGCAGGAAAATGCCATTTCGGCACATAAAACCTTCATGGTGGCTTGAAAATCTATCTTCACCCTCGATGAAATTTGAAACTTCAAAAATGGTGTACAATTCACATATTTGGCATAAGAAAACTTACGATTGCTTGAAAATCTATTTCTATCGTTGAGAAATTAACGATTCCTTGAAAATCTATTTCTACAATTGAGAAATTAACGATTGCTTGAAAATCTATTTCTACCGTCGAGAAATTAAATTTGAAGCTTAAAAAATGATGCAAACGCTAATCTCAACTCCCAAACACTCGAGCCTATTCTTGATTCCTAGTGTGATACTTCTTGTTCAACAATAACAACAAAATTTGATTTCAATGAACTTTTGAGACTAGTAAATGCAAGTAATCAAATACCAAACCAAGATTGATTTCTTATCAAGTTTAACGAACATGGCAAATTAAAACTGATTGAACAAGTACTAAACGAGCAAGTATTAAGAGAAATCTAGAGAAACATAGAAAAAATAGATTAAAAATTGATCTAAAAAATATTACACTGTGGAAAAGGCCAGCACTCTGATAAATTAGTCAGACAGTCACATTGAACTACTCATGGGCGGGCAAAGAGGGAAGAAAAGAGAAAAAGGAAGATTAAACGCATGGAGGGGGGAAAAGATTCGGTGGTTGAGAGAGAGAGATTCAAGGATGTCAAGTAGAAGGCAAAATTAAGAAACTTAGGGGGATTTTTTAAATAATATTATTTAACTTTGAAATTACAATATGTGATAGAGAGAGATAATTAATGATGTACAAGCTGTTAGATGTGAAATTGTATACATTTCCTTTGTTTAATTAACATCGTAAAGTTAATATCATAAAATCTGATCGGATAGCAATGATTGTAAACTCTTTGTACCAAAGCAAATAGCTTATTGTAAACATGGGATCATATAAAATGAGACAATTTACCTTTGATACAAAGTGATCACAATTTTTTACTTGACGTGAAATTTGATAGCTTCGATGTGTCACAAAGTTTGAAAAATTATCTTTTGAAGTTTGAACTTGATTAATGGAATAATTACAACCCTAATTCCATATCCAATAGTCAAGATTATTGTGACCATTATGACTACCTTATATCAAAGGTAAATGATCTCATTATGTACTTTCGCATATATTAATATGTCAAAAAGGTTTTATGCTTTTGTAAGGGTATACTTTCCATTTACTCAAGTAAAACCCAATCTAAGAGTTATTTTAGATTCTAAAGTCAGGAATGTAACCTCTTCGACCCATACTCGTCAGATTAAAAAAATTCCCAAAACTACTCGTTTTTTACGTAAAAATGGATGTATCATGACTGAATAGATACGATCTAATATTTGGAGGCTGAGATCTAAAAAAAATTAGACTTGAAATTTATTATTTTAAAAATAATCATCTAATAATTCTTAAGTAGTTTCCAAAATTTTAGGTTGAAAAATCATCGTAAGCTATTATTATGTGTGAGGGAATAAGTGTATGATAGTTTACCTAGGAAGAAAGTAAGTGTACAATACGCTCCAGCGGGAGCATATCATAAGCGCTAATGATATAATTTGGGCTCTCAAAATCCCATTTCCCTGAAACTGAATGGGTTTACCATTGCAGCTATGGAGAATGCAGGTGAGCGTCATCTCCATTAATTTCGAGGTTTTAGTTCTAGGGTTTATGGCTTTTCATTCTCCAATGGTGCTTTTGTCTTAGTTGCTCTCCGTATCAGTGCCTTCTCTGGATCATTGAGGGTTTTCCATGACCTGGAAAATATTTTCTTTCTATGAAATTTGTTCTCAAAACCCTAAAATTGTTTCCATTTCTTATTTAACTGCTCCGCATCTTACACTGAATGGACCATGAGTGGATTCCGCGTGATTGTTTGTCCAATGAGCAGTTGCATGAATCGTGAAATGTATGGTTTCTGCTATTTTATTTGATGTATTTATTTGGTTGATTGCCACGAATCCTGAATTCAAGGGTTATTTTTCTCCTTCCAATGCAATGCATCTGCTCGTGCTTTTGTGTTTTGGTTGTCTCATCTTTGATCCTTTAAGGCTTTAACTATATTACATTCTCCTGCAGTCCATATTGAGTTAAATCATTAAATCATAGATAAAGTGCAGATAGTGAGGTAAGTTGATCTTGATGCTGCTTGCATATGGTTTAGGAGTCCAGTATTCTGTTTTATTGTTTGCTTGATGAGTAGGAACTGTGAAAAAAAAGAAAAAGAAAAAACGAATGCTAGGTTAGCATGTTTTGGCTTTTAGGATAAGCTTCAAAAGGTGGAAAACTTGACGTACTTTACCTTAACTGATACGTCTATGCTAATACAAAGCCTAAGTGACTGAGTGGGAGTCGTGGCTCCCAATTATTTTCCTTTTTTCTTTTGAAATAACTTTTGATGTATTAGACTGTTTCAATTATTCAGTTCGATTTTGTCACCTAGGCATTTGTTTGTCAAGTAACTTATTTCTCTTCTAATCTGTATCCTAGCTTGAAATCTATGAGTAGTTTCTGCCTGTATTTGTGAAGACTATTTTCCATTAGAAGTCAAGAGGAAAGGTATAAATATAGTGGCACATATGATGAAAATACAGAGGGCTTAATGATAAAAGTGTCAAAAGAATGAGATATTGTCCCAGTGAAAGGGTTCTTGCTACCCACTTCTCCCCTAGCATTGGAGTCAGTCCCACTGGTGTTTAAAACTGAAATTAAATTGCTATTGACTTCGTTCTATCCACTGTTTTAAGTGTTATTCCATATTCTTTGAAAACAAAGAGCCCAAAATCAATGTTGCACTAAGAGCAAGCCATTAAGAGTGGCAAATATCTTGCACCATATATAAAATTGTTTCATGCGGGCTGGACCGCATTTCTACGTATGCGGTCCAGAAAGCATAAGGCATCCATCTTATATATGGATGCAAGTAGGTGTTCCATCTAAAACCAATGGAAACTAATGATCCAAATATTTTCTTACTAGAATTAGTATTTTTAGTTTTTAAAAATTATTTATTTTTTCACATTTATGATCTCCATATTAGAGATTACATGTCCTTAAAAATTAAATCTTAAAATCCATCTCAAAAATAATTTTATTAGGAGGCCCGCATTTCTACATATGCGGGCTTCGCCGCATGGAAACCAGGTCCATATAAAAGTCCTCATGCACCTCCATGTTTTATAGCCACGACTTGCTCATATTGATGATCCCAACTGTACATTGTGTCAATGAAAACTACGTTGTTTTATAGAGTGTCAATTGTACAAAAGCATGAGTCATACTGTCAGTGGTAACCTACTTTCAGATGATAAATAGTGGTAATTATGTACTTAATTACAGGAGACAGTGGGCAATATAAATGATTTGTTTTATTTCCTTAAACATGTTTTTTTTTTAACTATAAAAAAGACCCATGGTTTTAAGAAGAAAGTATTCTTTGTTGCTGATGCAATATATTGTCACCTCATTTGCAGAGAACATTTGTGCCCCACCTGTGGAAGGCGTCGCTGGAGGAGGGACCGGTTATGGATGGAATGAGGGCAGTTTGCGTTCTTCAACTTCTCTCAGTAAAGTAATTGACCCAACAGTTGTGCCAACATCTGATTTACTTCACGTGTGGTGTTTACCAAGCACTGCAAATGTTGGACATCAAGAAATTCCTAGACATCTTGAGGCTGTAAGCTGGCGCTTATTTATTTCCGTTGTTGGTGATAACCTATTGCCTTCCATAATCTTCCAGTTTTATTTGCTTGAGTTTGCTCATATTATTGTTAAACCAATGGACTTTCATGGTCTTCCATTAATGTTTAGGCATGATGCCACTTGTATGGAAATTACTGATGCTAATGATAGGGAAATTCATCTATTTATTGTATTATATGATTGATGAGTTGAAATGGAGTTTTACACTCTATGAGGTTTTTCATTTGATCTGGGAAACTTGTCTATGCTCAATTAGATGTTTATTGCGTTTTACTTGCTGTATGTTCATTTCACTCGTGGTTGGCTACTAAATGACCTTTTAAGGTCTTGTATTGACATTAGTGTTTCAAAACTCGGTTGAGTTGATTCAAACTTGGCTAAGTAACTCGGAAGTTGGCACCCTGCCGAGGCAATTTTTTTAGACAAACTCGGGTTTCTTAAATTTACTTAAAAATCAAAATTTGTTAATAAACCACCAATAAATGATTGAAAAATATGTTTCTCTATAATTTATACGTTTTTATGATGCTTTGACTTATTATATGATCTAATTTTCTATTTTTCCCTTTTTTTTTGGATTTTTCTGAAATGTTTCGAGCTATAAATCAAATTTTTCATAAAATCCATCTTCTATATACTTTTTTCCATCTTTTATATTAATTAGGTTTATAACTTATTTTGCTTTTTTACTTTTTTTAATTTTTAGTAATTTTTTGCATTTTTTCTTTTAGATATTTTGAGCCCTTTTTGGGCTCGTGTTGGACTCGGAAGAGTCCACTCAGACTCGCTCGAGTTACTTGGTTCGGGAACGGCCGAGCCCCAAGCATGAGCCGAGTTTTTGAACATTGGTTGACATTCTCTGAGGTAACAGGCTTGTCCTGCTCTGTTGAATTTGAATTGGGCTGTAATCATTCTGAACCATTTGATCCTGTATTCTTTGTTTTGTTTTCTTGAACATAGGATTGAGTTGTTAAAATAGGCTGGATTGTCACTAGTGTGCTTGATGTGTGTTATAGGTAGACCATAGTTAGTGTTTGGGTACTCCTTTTAAATCCACTCTTTTTAATTTCATGCTAATTATTCTCTTTTTTAATCTTCTGATGTCAAGTGGATAAAGAACTTCTATTTTATATGATGTGTTGCTATTCCTGTGAGGACATTCTTGTGCTTTATTGACTCACAATCTTATAGTTCTGAAATACATATACGTAGTTTTAACTGTATACCATGTTCATTCTGTTCATCGTTGGAAGAAAAGGCAAATGGCCGCCCATCATGTGCTGGTTTCTGAGTGTTTGCTTCTTGCATCGCAGATCTCTATGCTCATTGCAAGAAATGAGAGAGAAAGTGCACAGGTCGCTTTAAGGCCAAAAGTCACATGGAGTGGTTCTGGTATTGCTGGGGTTGTCCAAGTTCAGTGTAATGACCTATGCTCTAGTTCTGGAGAAAGGTTTGTCAGCAGCTATACTTCATTGCACGTCCAGTTATTCTCTTACATTGTTGTGATAGCACTTTTTTTTAAAGACAAAGGACTAAATGTATATGAAAACATTTTCAATATAATGTTTATTGGCAGGTTGGCAGTTGGACAATCATTGACATTGCGACGTGTGGTGCCTATCTTAGGTGTGCCTGATGCTCTTGTACCTATTGATCTACCAGTCAGTCGAATAACCGTATTTCCTGGGTACTGTTCATCTGAAAAATATTAAGCATGCATTTCTTGTAGTATACTGGTATGAGGTTGACTATTCAGCAATTGGATGAAATCTTCCTTTTTTGCGACTTTAGTAACAGGGTTGGTTTTTTTTTTTTTTCCTTTTCTTCCTTTTTTTTTTTTTTTCCACTTTTTTGGCATTTTCTTTGTTTCACAGGGATACATCGGCCCTTTGGGTTTCAATAGATGTTCCTGTCGATCAACCTCCTGGACAATATGAGGGGAATATATTCATCACTGCTCTCAAGGATGACACAGAGTGATAATCTAGCCTTCTTTTTCAACTTTAACATTAGGTTATTTTGTGTTTGGTTTATGCTATGAATATTCTTTATCTGACCCTTTTTACTTTGGATCCAAATTTTGCCATAGTTTTAATAGGTCTAAGGCTTTATTTTTTTTGGTTTTTTAGTACTACAATATATTGTTTTGATATATGTTTCTTTCTAAATGCAGTGGATTTAAAGGACTTGCTAAAACCGAGAAGCATCAGATTCTAAAAGATCTTCAAACTTGTGTTGAAATGGTTGAGGCATTGGATGGAAAGCCCTTGAATGAAGTGGTGGGTTCGGGGAACATTTCCCTTTTTTTTCTTTGTGTGTATTTTTGTGTAAGTGATATATTCTTGAGGTGATTTGTTGTCCTTGTTTTTGTAGTCAGAAAAGATTAAAACAGCATCTGCAACCTTGAGAGGGGTTCTTCACTCACAGTCGTTCCCTCAGTTTGCCCTGGATAATGAGTCAGGGGACATGATGGATGAAGATACTCGAACAGATTTATCTGTGCGAATCAAATTAAGTGTCACAGTGTGGGACTTTGTTTTACCCTTGACACCTTCTCTTCCAGCTGTATTTGGTGTATCCTCAATTTTTTATCTGTTTTGCTGTTTTTGGTTTTGCCCTTTTAATCTATTTTTTGAGCGGTAGTTTAGATTGTACAGATGTGATCTCCGTTTGCACTTGTAAGCTCAATTTAAGATGTTGGTTTCATAATTCAACACTTATTTATTGCTATTACTATTGTGTTCATTTTAAAGATTAACCTTGTTATATTGGAGTTTGATGCAGACATATCAGGATCTGGGGCATAGTTTTTATTATATATTAATTATCTGACTCTATATTTATATGAAGTGTCCTGGTTAAGCACCAAATTGTCACCTTAAGCTGGGTGTCACCTGATGTGATATTGAATTCATGTGCTAGTTTGTCTGGAGTTGTAATTCATCAATTTTCTGGACATGAAGAAAAGCTTGGATATAAGTGGTCTATAACGAAGAAATATGCTTTTCTTAATATTGATACTGGTTGCCATATCAAAGTCATACTCAATATTTATGCTACTCTTTGTGGTGTCATTGATTTCCATACTATGTGACATAGTGCCAGTAAAATTTATATGATATATGGCGTTGATATTTTTCTAAATGTTGCTTCAGGAAATTTTCCCATACCTGAAGCCTATTCTCGTTTCTTCTTTATTTTACATTAGATTTACTAACTGATAAAATCCCTTAATATGAGTTTCTTGGGTTAGTTGCATGGCCATGCACATGGTTATTGTTCATGGTAACCCAGATCACGTGATGATTATGTAATTCTAGGTAGTAACTAATTAGAATGCTGCATCCAATAAGCTTAAGCCTTTTTTGCACAAAAGTTATGCCTGGTTCTTAACTGCTAGTTAGATATCTGAGACTGTAATTGAGGATCGGTTTGGTGTCGAACATGGCAGTGCGGACTGGTATGATGCATTAAACATGCACTTTAAGTGGCTCCTTCAATACAGAATCAGTCCATTCTTTTGCAGATGGGGCAACCATATGCGTGTTCTAACTTATACCTGCCCTTGGCCTGGTAATTTAGAACTTCATATACTGTTTTTTCGGTAAATTTTTAAGTACAGTTTGACATTTATTTCTTGAAAAGAAATACAAAAAAGGTTTATGGTACACGTCAATTAAGTTTGTTGCTTAGCTTATTGATAATTATGAGGGTAGCTTCATGTTTACTGGTACGTTCCATGAAAGTTATTTACCCAATTTGTTTGAGTATGTAATGCAAATGATTGATTCTATTGTAATATTTAGATGGCATTACTCCCTGTTGGTGATGCTGACATTGTTTTCCAGCCGATAACCACAAGTCGGAAGAATACTATTCAGATCCAAGATTAGCGGCGTATGCTGTACCTTATACCCCAATTCTCTCTTGGTAAACCTTCACTGGTACTTGTGCATCTTTTTTCTGCTTGTCTTGAGTATCTTGCACTTGGCCAACCACTTCGTACAATGGAACAGTGATGATGCAGCAAAAGATGCCTTGAGGAAAGAAGTTGAAACATTGAAGATGAAGCCGCACTGGAAAAAGTCTTACTTCTACTTGTGGGATGAGGTATGGTCCTGTTGTATAGAAAGCAACTCTGCCCACTTCCATATTGGACATGTATATATTGCTTGGGAAAGTATGCTATGATATAATGGAATGTGGTTTTCCATGGTCTACTAGGTGCAGTAGTAAACTTTCATATTTTTTTTGAACTTTACAATTAGCTTCATTGATTTTCTTAGTTTACCATTAGGCACATTTTTGCACGGGATTTGAACCTTTTAGGTGTACCCCCCAGCCAACCTTACATAGAATGATATCCATGATGTGCAGTTGGGTTGGTCAGGGATAGAGGGCTAACTATCGCAATATTTTGTGCTCTCTCTCAGCCTTTGAACTCAGAGCATTACGATGCCATTCGCTCCATGGCCAGTGAGATACGCACATATGCACCTGATGCCCGTGTTCTTACTACATATTATTGTGGTATGCTTTTTTTCTCTTATAAGAAGGATCATGTGTCATGCTCATCTGATGTTTCCTTTCTTTTGCAATTTCAGTACTCTGGCTCCCATATCTACAGTTTCATGTGGTTTGTAACTTCTCATGTCCCAAACAAAATTTCATATCGTTGCTTGGGGTTAATTTGAGCAATTTTTTTTGGCATACTATTTCTTTCATATTGTATTTCCTATGACTCATTTCTGGTACTCAATTCTGTAGAGAATACATATATCCTGGAGTGGAAGCTTTATTGCGTCCTGTTGTTTCTTGGAACTATTTCTCTGAAAAAATGGTGTTCATGCAAAACATGGAGGCTATACTTTGTGTACTATTTTACTTTGTAGAGACGACTGATGTTTAAGGGAATGTCATTCATGGAGACTTTGGATTGCATATTCTTCTAAAATGTAAAAGCACCATTGTCTAATATTCCGATCTTCATACTAGAGTTTCTTTTGTTGTTCCTTCAGCTGGATCTTGTTTATCATGCAGGCCCAAGCGATACAACACTGGGACCCAGCACTTTTGAGGCATTTGTTAATGTCCCAAAACTTCTACGACCTCATACTCAAATATTCTGTACAAGGTATCCATGGTTCAATGTTTCAGAAATTCAATTAGGTTCGTTGCATGAATGACATGGGGAACCTGCTTAATCAATTCTAACTCTTTATCTATTTATTTGTATTATTTGTTAATGTTCCTGGGCCTGAAAAAGATCAAGTGGTGACATTGTGGAAACTGGCTGCTTAGATTGAGTTGAATCTCATAGTAAATTGAAACTGCTGCTACAACAATGGTATTCTGTTGTTCATGTGCTTTTGACAAACCTGGTGTTTATCATGTTGATATATTTGGACATAGATTTTCAATCCGCTAGTCATATAATGCTAGTTTCTTCACCCACCTAATCTGTCCCATATTTTATCGTATACATATATGCTTGATTTTCATTCTTAGCAAACAAAAAGAAATGGTGAAATGCCAAGTGAGACTATAGTCTTGCAGACCCTAAGACATATGATGCCATTGTCAAAATTTTATACCAGTTGGAAAATTTGAGGAAACACTGATTACTTTAATTGTTGTTATTGAAATTATACAGTGAGTGGGTATTAGGCAATCGAGAAGATTTAGTTAAGGACATCATGGCAGAACTACAGCCTGAAATTGGTGAGGTAGGTTTCTGTGAAGGTGGCTGTCATCATTTGCAGATACAGTTTTTGTTGAATCTATGATATATCTATAATTTCCTGAGTCAACAAAACATCCCTATATTAGGGTTTGTATTTCTTTATTAAACCAAGAAGAGAAAAGAAAGAAAAGCCTTAAATAGTTACTTTGCAAACGTTACCCTTATGGCTGGATCTAGTTATGCACATGAGTGCACATACTTAAGGAGGGCACTTGTGAAAAGAAGTGTTCCATATTGTAGGGTGAGAAAGAAATGTGGTCCCCCCACCTCTTCCAAGAGCATTGGGATGCCAATCCCATATACACATGCATGCAACATGCATATGTAACCTTGCAACACCATAAGGGACTCCCTTGAGATTATGCTTGTTGAAATTTCCGCCTTTGGTTGGCGTGTTTGGATTTTCATACTTGGGCGTATGTATCTATGTATGTGTATATGCATAACTGCATGGCTGAATATTTCTATCATGCAGGAATGGTGGACCTATGTATGCATGGGGCCTTCAGATCCTCATCCAAACTGGCACCTTGGAATGCGAGGTACACAACATCGTGCAGTTATGTGGCGGGTATGGAAGGAGGGAGGAACTGGTTTCCTTTATTGGGGAGTGAACTGTTATGAGAAGGCCGTTGTCCCTAGTGCTGAGGTATTCCTTTAGTTCATGTTGCCTTTTATATATGGAAAAGTATGCTATTAATTGATTGGAGCAATTAAAGATACTATTATCTAATGGACTTTCGTTTTTCATTGACCATTGAATTATTGTATTATCTGTATACTTCCCCATTATCGTCTCATGAATCTAATAGTGCTACTGATGACCGACAACTAGTAGCGGTCATCAAGAACTCTTCAAGTTATTACAGTAAAACTTCAAGGTATCAAGTTATTTAAAACGACCAGATTACACCTAATAAGAACTGACTTACTCTTATTGGTTAATGAGAGAGAGGTTAACAAAATGTTCTAAAGGTAAGCCCTTGAGCTCACGAGTGTTTTAAAATGGAAAATATTCATCACATTGGAACGTTTATCTCAGTAAAAAACAATTTGATTAAACTCTCTTTAAATTAGGTTGACAGGTTTATGTATTTCTTATAAGCTTACAAGAGCATCTAGTAACTTACTCAATTTGCATTCTCTTGTTTTGCTAGATTTCATTCTCCAATAAAAAATAATAATTTCATTTTTATAATTTTAGTGCTTATACAAGAATGTATTTGTTGGCGCTATGCTGTCTGTTTATCCGAATTATTTCATGGAATAAGAATTTCCCAAGATTTTTTTTTGAAAAATTTCCCAAGCTATTAGCTGCTGAAAATTTCCGAAATGCAAAAACATGTGATTGGGAAAAGGATTCTCATGTTACGCTGTCGAACAACTCATCAACCACTATGAATCTTAGAGATGTCGGGTTCGTATTTCCAAAAATATAGTGTTATTCTAAGATTTTCACCCATTTGGCCATTTGATTAAAAAACTCGAACCACTTGCAGATAAGGTTTCGGAATGGCCTTCCTCCTGGTGACGGCGTCCTGTTCTATCCTGGTGAAGTGTTCTCTTCTTCCCATGAGCCAGTTGCCTCCGCTAGGCTGGAGCGCATTCTCAGTGGCTTGCAGGTGTGTAATCTTAACTATTTGTGCATTTTGTATCCCTAAATCTTCTATCATATTTGTTTATACCCTTGGCTGATGCTTAATTCAATATTGCTTCATGGTACTTGGATACCTCCATTTTTTTCACTCTTGACATAGACATCCTTTAAAACCAAACTCCATCTTTAGCAGGACACGGTTTTGGTGAGTAAGCTGACTCACCTATTACCGTATCTAACGTCCATCTCTAAGATGGATGTCAAAAAATGTTACATCCACTAAAATTTAAAATAGCCAGTGAAGAAAGGAATTAAAAAAATAACATTTGCATTTTTTTAAACAAAGAAAAAATCCAAATTTAGATCATTGTCGTGGTTGAGATTATTGAACTCTAAAATTTTGGATTGAAAATACATATTTGAGATAAATTTTTTAGGAAGACCGCACAAGAATAGTGTGAGTTGGCCGAAGCACCAAATTCTTCTCCTTAACAGTATTTCCGGTTTTTAGTTATTTTTACGGGTTAATTTGTTTGTGTTTGTTTGTTGAATGAAAGGGATGACCTTATGAGAACATGCTGGCTATAGTTTCCAACACTTCATAGGCTAGCCATAATATGAGACCTGCAACTTGCGTGCTTTATCATCCAATTCTTTTCACGCACACACAAATGGAAATGCAAATGGGTCTACATTCTTAGGATTATTCCTCTGATTAGAGCACTGTATTTGCAATGCCCGCTTCCTTGGGTGTGTCTGTGTATATGAGACTTTCTTTTTCTTCTTTTTTGTGCACGCGCAAGCGTGGAATTTATAAAAGCTCATTCTTATAATGCCTTTTGAGTTGTTAGGACATAGAGTATCTCCGACTTTTTACTTCTCGATATGGCCGGAATGAAGGGCTTGCACTCTTGGAGAAAACGGGGGTTTATTTAGGGCCCGAGCGCTATACCCTCGATCACATGCCCATTGATGTCATGAGAGCTGAGATTTTTCGCCTATGTCAGTCATAAGTTCCACTCAATGCTCCCTGCCAGGTGCCCTATTTTTTCTTGGTTTGATTCCTGTGTAGAATTAGAGTGCTATTTTGTGGATTGCATGTAACTGGGGCATTTGTAAAAACGAAAGATGGCTGCATCCTAACAAGTCAATCACAGAGAAGAGAAATGAGAATATATTTGATTTATGATCCTCCTTTAATACGGGCCTAACACATTATAAGATAGATTTATTGAAAATATCGGTTCACAAATGTGTTGATTCACTTTTATTTGAATAGATCAATTCACATATATATATGCCTACTTTTATCATAATGTTCTGAAGTTTATTATGAATTTTCTTGATGAAATCATGAGATGGACTCACCTATTTTGTCAATTTTAATTGGATTTGAGCCTCTTTCTGCCTAACTCGTTTGTGGTCGACGATTAATTCCTAGTAAATTTTCAGTAGGTCCATGCTTGGATAAAATTAAAGGCTTTTATTGCTGGAGGCATCCGTGATTTTCATCTCTCTCTCACACACGCACACTCTTATTCTCGCTCTCGCTCTGCCTGCTCTATGCTCTTAAAAAATGCGAGCTTTTTTATTTGGTTGAGTCATCCTTAATTTTGGGGTCTCTCTCATCCTTGATTTTGGTCTCTCTCTAAATATTTGGGAAATGTGGAACTTAATTAATAGTCATTTATGTATTATTCAAGGCGTATTATTCAAGGCTTCAAGTTCTGAAATTTATACGTGTTTTGTTTTGCTGACTCGCCTATACGAGTCAAGAAGTTACTTTTGTGACCCGAGAAAGTACATTCAAGTTAGGCAAGGCGTTATTTCCTGATTGAAAACTGCTGAATAAATATATAATGAACTTTTCATAACTGTAAAAAAAAAAAAGAATAAGAAAATATAATAAAATGGGCAAAGTCAATGAGATCAATAAATCAACTAATTTACTAATAAAACTGAAACCATTTAAAAAGCGTTCTATTCAGGTACCTATTCAACCATCTTGTAAGAAAATGCCTATATGTGTTGTTTTAGGGTTGTAACTCTAAAGCAAGTGATGGTATTTTGGTAATTTGGCCGCTTAAGTTGCTCGAGCCAAATTACTTAATACCGTGCACGTTTTGTGGAACGTTTTTATAATTGAAACATCATGTTGCTAGCCAAAGTGTTTATGTTCTTTTAGCTTGGGTGAACTCGAGGCTTAACTATCAAAATCCCCCCATTATTTCGGGTTCCAAAATTAAGACATAACTTATAAATGGAAAATATATTTGGGGTTGATGCCATTTGACTTTTTTGCGTTCAAGTTTACAAACTTTGATTTAGAGCAATTTGGATATTATTTATTTAAGAGAATGGATATTTAGGAAGCCCATTGTTTTGTTGGAAAGATTCTTGATTTGATCAACTTCTTAATAAATTCTTGATTTATTTACCTTGTTCATTTTTTTTGAGGTGGTTTGACCATTTACATGATATTTTTTCAAAAATAAAAAAAGGGCTAACCTATTGAGTAGGGAATTTATAGGAATTACAAGGGGACCATTTATGAAATATTTATAAGAGAAAATATTCAATATGTTACACATTTGCAACTATGTATTTTATAGGTATTTTGAAATTAAATCAAAAGATATTGATAACGAGGACACGACCAATCCTAGCGCCATCAAATGTCAAATTTGATAGTTAAAGAGTAAGTAAAGTTTTAGATTTTTTTTTTATTAACTTTGAGGTGTACAGAGTGCCGTGTACTTTCAAATCTAACCATAATTGATTGTAACCACCTTCTAGAGAAAGTAAATGATTTATTGTATACATTTGTAGTATTAAATTGGACATCTTTTAAAGTATTTTGATACACTTATGTAGTTCCCACATATTTTGAACGTGCTTCAGTTTTTAAAGTCTTTTATCATATTTTGAACGTGCTTCAGTTTTTAAAGTCTTTTATACGGAAATGCTATGATATTTTTTAAAAGGATTGTTTACAAAGCGATCATTTATCTTTTGTGTATAGAGGTCATAACCATTGTGTTGGGTCATAAAGTTTAAAATCTTTTTTTTTTTAACTTTGTCTATTTTTGATATTTTTTAAAATTTAAAGGACAAAAACAATCGTAACTTGAACAAAAGATCAATGACGTCTTCATAAGCCACACCTTTTTTAAAGGGTAGCATGGAAATTAGTAATTAATTTTATGTCCCTCTTTTAACTTAGCACCTTCTTCATACAAGATGTCAAATTTTCAATTATACATATCCAAAAGAAAAATGGTCGATTCCTACAAAAACAAAAGAGAAAAAAGAACACGTTATGGGAGACCAAAATGCCCTTTCGTTCAAGGAAAGAAATTATGATTTGCTTGAAAAAACATCCTGGTGGGAGGCACAATTATCCATGAGATGTACAGGGGAGATTCCTTCTGCATATTTTTAAGTATTTATTCATGGCCATGGTTTTTATAAGTCTTTGGACTTATATATAGATATGCATCCCCTCTTAGGAAAGGGGCGGGTCGTGGTGGAAGCACCCCATAGTTATTCTATCGTGGTTTTTTATCTTGCTGACATCACCCAAATAACACCTAAAAAAACAAAAAAAAGCTAACTCCCGCATCTATCTGAAAAAATGGGTAGGGGTCGGTTTCCGCACTGAATTACCTAAAAAAAATGTATGTGTATGGCTGTCTTTATGATCCATATTTGAGGTGGATTTTGGATTTTAATTTTTAGGTATATATAATCTTTAGTATGGAGATTATTAATCTGTATAAATAAATAAATTTTAAAAATTAAAAATAATAATTTTTTGAAAAATATTTTTTAGAAGGTTGCCTTTTTTTTTTGGTGGGACCACTAATCTACATCCATCTTTAAAATGAATTTGTGATGCCTCAGGCAAACATAATGTAGTCATGTGTACGCGTAAAGCACTTTTTCTTCATTTAAAGGTTCTCATCCACAATGTAAATGGATTAGAAAGTGTGTTTATTTTAAGAAAATAATAGTAAATTGAAAATAAATAGTAGTACTCAATTATGGGATTTTCCTTGGAGAGTCCTTGCATTTGTAGGACCTTGTTTATTTTATTTGAACTTATTTATCAAAGAAAATGTATACAGTAAGACTATTTTTTTTTTTTGATGTAGGGATGTCCCGGTCATTATTGACTTTTAGACATGAAACTGAGTGGTTGGGGTTGTACCATCGATTGAGGACATAGTTCAAATTGAAATTTTTTGAAAGTTTTGATATGCTTTAATTTGTGGGATTAAACATTTAATGGTTAATAATGATTGTGATATCCTTATACTAAAAATGAATGATATCTCCCTTAAGGTATATTTTAGATCCGAAGTCTTTGGAAGACCAAATGGGTTTATGTGTCCGAGGGTGCAAAATTGACTTTTCCTTATATTTGAGTAAGTGGAAATTTGTTTAATGCTTGAGGGTTGAAATCGCGTACTTTTATTATTGCATGGCCATGGTGAAATTACTCATCATTTTCAAGTATATGATCCTTTTATGCTAGAAAAGCAGTTTTTATGTTGCAATGTATTTCCACATTTGTGTCCCCCGAGGCATAAACCATCCATCTAAAGATGCATGGAAGTGATTGTCCTTCCAAGAAAAGGGTAAAATCAATGGCTTAAACATTTATTTTTAAAAAAATATATGAGAAAATATATAATGAAACTATTTACTTATGGTACAAGGTGGTCACAATTAATCTTGACCATGGGATATGAAATTGGGTGGCTACATTTATTTCATTGACCAAATCCAAAATTCAAAATTAAAAAGAATTTTTTTCGAACTTTATGACACACCCAAGCCATCAGATTTCACATCAGATGGTTGCAAATAATTGTGACCTCCCTATACCAAAAATAAATGGTCTCATTGTATACAATCCCAAAAAATATATTTTCTTTTAGCTTTTATTTTTATTTTTACACATTAATGATCTCCATTTTAGGAATTGCATTTCCTTAAAAAATCAAGGCCTAAATTTATTTAAAAAATAAAGTCCTAAATTTATTTAAAAAATCAAGGCCTAAATTTCTGAGTTTGGGGACTCATAGAAACTATGTCCTTTATAGTAACTATATCGTTGAATACCATAGACATAAGCTTTCGATGTGTCTCTACTCCTTAAATATAAATTATATTTATCTGAAAAGATCAAACTATCAAATCAAGATAAAGTAAGTGAAAGTAAGTCAATAATAACAAATACAGTTGGTAATAAGGTAAGAAGAATGTACTTAGCACACTCAAAGATGTGAGTTGAGAAGAGAATGGTTTCCGTGTATCAAAAATATAGGTGAGGAGTTTTCTTTTCTTAGTTTCCCTTCAATTTTAATTTTTGGTGGGTGGTTGGATGGAGATATTGTAGCCATTGATTGTGATTCGATTCTCTGTGACATCCTGAAAAAGTGAAAAGCCAGTGGTTGTAGAAGTTTATATCTACATTTATTAGAGTTTTACATTGACACCATCCTGTGTATTGGCGAGAGGGAGAGAGAGAGAGAAGGAAAGGGGGGGTACAAATGAGATAATAATTGAACATTGAGAGAGAGAGAGAGAGAGTAAAGGGAACCATAGAGAGAATAATTGAATATTGAGAGTACATGAGAGACAAAACTGAATATGACAGAGAGAGAAACTGTATATTCCATAGAGAGAGAGAGACTGTATATTCTCCATAGGACACTACAATGTCTTGTGAACAACTTGCTTCTCAACCTTAGAGAGAGAGAGAGAGCGTGTGTATTCTCCATATGACACTACAATGTCTTGTTAACAACTTGCCTCTCAACCTTAGAGAGAGAAAGAGAGATGGGGGAGAGAGAGTGTGTGTGTATTCTCCACAGGAAGCTACATCTATGTCTTGTTAACTACTTGCCTCTCAACCTTTCATCGATGGAATGGTCCCTTTGGAATGGTCCCTTTGGGCTTAGGAATGCCTCATTAGAGAGAAAGAGAGAGAGAGTGAATATTATTTTTGGTATTTCTCAAAGTTAGGTTCAGGGGGGACACATACCGAGGCATGTACTTATGCATTGACTATTAACAAATTGATCATAATTTTCAAGGCAGCATGGGTCCCTCAGGGCTTATCATACATAATAACAAGGAAAGAAACTCTCGAAAGTAAATGAGTACATGATGAGTAAGATTTGATGGCCTTCATGATTAAGAAAGGAAACAAAGTTTTTATGAGAGAGAGAAAGGATGAGGAGA